AAACTTGCTGTAGAACAGATTTCAAAACTGTTTATTACTGGCTAACAGGTACAGAAACTCTTCCAGTATTTTGTTGTCAGGTGTTGATCATTAGGGCCTGTATTTCCGGTAAAAATTAAGCATATAAGTTATAGTACTGGCTATCTCAATGGCCAGTAATTGGTTTTGAAGGTAAAATTTTTGTTTTCCAGTGACGGCAACAATTCTGAAACATTTTCATTAGTCAAAAAAGAAGTTGGGAAAGGGGATAAAATGCAACCTAATGTGATTTAAGACCAAAAAAGGATATATTTCTAATCACCAAGACTTATCTGTTTATATAAAAATGTGTTTAATATTTTCAACAAATTTGATTTTTGCATAATTAAATTTTAATTTCAATTTTATTGCATTTTTTAAAAAGAATTGTTAATGTCCTGTTTTATCATATACATGTATGTAACTTTTAGCTAAAATATTTGTATTTTTTATGTTGACGTTAATCTTCCATGGCTACCTTGAGTCATTTCACTCAAGTAAACCAACAAAAAAGTAGTGAAACTGAATGTTTCAACTTCCAATGACAATTAAACCATGTTTTGGAGCACTTTGCTTTTAGAAATTACAAAGTTATGATTCAACTTTAACTTAATCTGTGCAAACTATAAAACCAAACCCAATAACCCGTGTGAAAAGCTTTTTAATTCTGAGTAGGCAATAAAAAGGTAGCATTATACATTTAAGTAAAAACTTATTATGACCTGAGGTATGTCAACTAGAATATGAGTACCCCACTGAAAGGACAATGCAGAAATTGACACCGATGTAAGAACAAACTAAAAGTTGGGGACAAACCTTTACCTGAGGCAAATAACGTTTGAGTTTCGGAGAGCACAGAAAGCATCAATCTGCTGCTGATTAGGCGAATATTATAAAAAAATATATATGCTGAGAACAATAGCTAACGCAAAGCTTACCACCATTAAAGGGGGCCACTGTAATAACCAATGATGGCATTACCATAGTCACAAGAATTGTCTATTATACATGAATATATAAATTGCAATTACTATAAAGGGTGCATCTTAATTAACATAATGAATAAGCATCTCCTTCTTTTCAAAGAGTCGCACAAGGTGTCATATAAGAGCACTAGTCCAAATCTTACTTTGTAATTATAAACTACAGAAAGAGACACTGCTTTCATACTTTGCTTTGGTTGTAACCATCCATAACAATTTGTGTGTCTTTATGCAATCCTTCAGGTGTGTATGCGCCACTGACACTGTTGGCAGCAACTGGACACAAACACTGCTCGCACCACCTAAATAATCAAAGAAAATAAAACATTAATTTCAAATGTCTTTGGCAACTCAATACATATCACACTCAACTGTGATTAAAATCAAATGGAATTACCCAAGATGGGGGGATTCACAACAGTAATTAGAATCATAAAGACAAACAAGCAAATCCAGCATCATATCACAATGGAAAAAGTCCAAACCAGCAAAAATGTCATTAGTTATCATATACAGCATGATTTTGGAAAATAAAATGTAGAAGAGTTAGTGCCAAAGGCCAATTGGCCAACATCAAGGATGCAAAGTTTCTGATTAGCCTAGTGGAAAACCATTTATCTTTGATCAACTGAAGTGCAAAACATCATTGAATAGATGTTGCTAAATGTCTACAGTCACTACAGAATAAACCAGTCATTTTTGAGGGTTCAAGAAATCATAAGATAACATTCATTTTTTTAAATGGTTATGTACTTAAGATAAAGATAATAATCTTCAAGCAAGATTGAATCCACAATGCGGATTACTTGATCCACATAGCAAAAGCCGTGTGATACTGTCATTTTAGTGAAGTGTAGGGTTGATCAATCTACAACATAACTTAAATCTTTCATCAGCTCATTCAAGACAAAGATCTTGCAAATGTTGAGCAGAGAAAATGCAAAAGCCTATTCATTTTGTGTGCCTCTTGGGCCTTGTGGCATTAGACACATAACTTACTATAGAGGGTTTGCAGGGTTGCCATCTTGTAGTTCAATGCTTTTGTTTCACAAGGTATGCACAAATAAAGGAGGTTTCTCTGTGGAACAAAAGAATTGCCCTGCAAGATGGCTACCACACAAAGCCTCCATATTTATGCAGTAATCTATGTGAAATACACAAAAGGAAGCCAGCAAGGTTTTCTATTCAGCAAGTACAATGTTTGCTTTACCTCAGGTAAAACATTTGAGACATTTGAGAGAAAGTCATGTCTCCTTTAACATCATCTGCAGAAGAGAATACAGGATGGATATCCTCAGAAGAAATGATGAATGTGTTACCTCCTTGCTACAGCAATATCTAGCTCCTTTGCTTTGTCCCATGAAGCATGTTCTAGGAGAAGGCTTGCGATGTAGGTCCTGGCTAGACTGTTAGCAAAATCACGTGCAGCTACAGGCATCAAAGACTGAAACAATTAACAAAGGTAAAAAATGTAAGTCTTTAATTCTGAATACAAGCCAAATTAGATTTGCACAAAAAAGTTCTGTCATGGCAGGCAAGAGGTAGAATTCGGCAGTTCTCAGCATATCATTCCGGTGGAGGGTATTTTGGGTACTGAAACAGTTTCAAAAAAAGGTTAAAAACTGGCTCAAGGTCTGGTCAATGACCCCCAACTAGTTTTAAACATCTTTACAATGACTCCAGCACAGTATTCATTAAAGTTTTTAGCAAAACATTAAAACTGGGCAAATTTCAAATAATTTGTTTACCATTGTACTTCATTGTGTGTGATTGTCAGAATAGGCTGCGAAGTGTCTCTAAGGTAGCGAGTGTAATCGCTTCTGTGATCACCGGGTTACTCGGTAGTGAGAACGATTGTGATACTCCTGAGGAAACAGAATTGCCTCAGAACACCAAATCAGGATAGAGATCCGCAGACTATCACATACATGATGAAAATAGCAAAACTCGCAGTTCTCGATGGAAGTTGTATACAAGACGGTTACGCCACGTTAATGTGTGGATATGAACTACTGGTCATGTAAAAATGTAAATAAGAGAACCAGTGAGGACCAGAAGAATGCTGTCACTGGGGCTCTGTATGGGAAGCTTCAGCAGGCTGAAATGCACATCAATATGGGAAGAAGACAGTCTACTGAGATGGTGAAAACCACTGCTGAAAGCTCTCGAGAGACTGTCCACATAGCACTTACTGTTAATATTAACCATTTGAATCAACCAGAATTTAGTCAAATATAGATAAGAACACTGGTAATACAACATCCTCCTTACGGGAATAAGAAACTGTAGGTCCCATATTCTTTGTATCCTATGCTTTTCAGAACTGGAGCTTACCAGTTCCATTTTTTTTACAACAACTCCTTGTTATAATAACAAAACAATTTGGAAAATTGACCTTGTTATAAAATGACCTGGTTATAAATGTGTTCAATTGTATAAAACTGACTTTTCACCACATATGAAGTTGTAATAAATTGAGTACCCTATTTTGTTGAAACATTTTCAATCTAGGTCTAATTCTTAGGAATGTACAGTTTTTAACTGTACATTCTCTGAACATTCTTAAACAGAATGTAACAGTTAAAGGTTAACTGTACATAGAGTGACGTCACAAGAGTAGTTGCAGCTATTGTAAAAGAAGTTTTGATGTTGATTAAGTACTTGCATGTATCTGTCCACAATAAGGTGCTGCACTGAAGGCTGACAAAGCAGGAAAGTAAATCAGTGACTTTCAAATGAATTTGACTGATAAACTGAATTTAATATTAAATTAAAGAGCAACCTCAACGGTGGTGAAAAAAAATGGGGAATACAGTTTAATATACTCATGTGGTATCTAAGTAATACGTTATATATGTAAAGTGACACTGTGACTTCTGAATAAATAGTAATAATGTGATAAATATATGGACCTGAGGGTGTTTCAAAAACTGTCCGCGTTTGTACCATCATGCAGAAATGCTCTTTTAAATTGCGCACCACCGTGGGAAACGAAAGATGTCATGACCTCGCAGGACCTGGTTTTGAGGATATGTTTTCGTACAAAAGGCCTGCACGCCTGAGCTGCCAGCCTAGCCTGACACTTTTTTTGGAATAAAATAACAACATAAAAAACACTCATAACATCTGTCCTACACTCCGAACTTAACAAGCCATATTAATCAAACCATCTTGGTCTTTGTCACCACCTCGTTCACCAGCGGTGGACTCATTGTCAGCCCGATATTGATGCTGTTGGCACTCCAGTGGCACGATGGGATCAAAGCAGTAAGGCTCTGCGCCTTGGACTTCATACTCTTGGTCTTCGTGTTCTTCTTGCTCTGGTAAGCTGATGTTGTCTGAAGCAGAACCACTATCTGACGAATTCATCTCTTTTTTATCAGTACTATGCTCCTCCCCAGAGTTGTCGCTTTCGGGTCTTTTGCTTTCAGCCATTTTTGGGGGGAGGATATCTCGGGCCTTCCAGCTATTATAGCGTGAGCTTGGGACAGTGTAACTGTAACTACACGCTATACTACTTGTAATTATGTGCATTGGTGTGACCATGCCGGCTCAGTGTGTACGTGCATCAGCCGGAGAACCGTTTCCATGGTGCTACCATAGAGGAAGGACACAGAAGGAGTTGCAACTCTGGCACTGCAAAGTGTTCAATGATGGTTGCGGCAAGTCAGACGAATGATAGAAAAATTCCAAAATGCCTGATCACTGCCTGCATCTTAGCCAGACAAGTGGGGCCAGTAATATCCTAGCAATACTAGTAGTTTTTGCTTGCAATTAAATACAAATTATCACTGTGACAAAGAAATAGAGAGAAAAAAATCCCTGATATTAGACCTATTTTTGCCATCATAAATAAACTTTTAAAATTGTGATACACTGTTCCATTATCCATGCAAAGTTTGTAATTTTATTCTCCTCCGTCCTATGCATCAGTGTTCAAAAACTTGGTACCAATTGGCTAAGACTGGACAACAAAATGTTGACTATTACTGCAAAGCTAAGTTCATAAGTAAAAAATGCGCCATTTCATCACAGGGAGTGATCGTCAAATCTCATAAAATACTCCTTTGTGCAAATGCCATAATAAAAACGATTCAAACAAAACACAAAATCTTGTAAACAACCAGGCTATTTAGTCCCGAAATAACTCCAGAAGAAAGCTCTCATTAAGGGCAATGACTGCACATACAGATTTAGGGCACACATAATAATGCAAGTAACTGGGCAAGCATTTAATTTGATGTTGTCATGAGATCATACCAAGCACCAACATAAGCATGAATATTCATTCTCCTATACCTCAGTGCACAAAGTTTTAAGGTTGTAGATTACCGCGACAAATTGTGGCGGCGATCATAGGGTACAAAGGGGTTTCGTAGTTGTGAAACAGATGGTGCATAGCAAGCGTTAAGCATTCGCTGCGCTCTGGCTATGGACATACCAGGTATGCCAGAAAGCAGTAATTGGCCAGATGTTACAGCCCGGGCAGTTCAAACTCCTGTGTCCTTCCTCTATCGTGCTACGTGGACAAAAACCTGAAAAAGCTGTATTCATGAAATGTAAATTAAGTGATGACGACACGCTCCTTTCACGAAAGCTAGCCATAGTGCTCGGTACAAACGGGTCTCAAAAGTGAGTTTTTTTACCAAAATTACTGCTGAATCCGGGTTTATTTGGCATAGATGTCTATAATGGGATCCAAGTAAACATACTACGGCCAGATTTCTTATTTTCTTCCACCGTTGGGGTTGCTCTTTAAACATTACTGATCACTTTTTCCCAAGTGTCTGCTTACCTGTTTATTGGACAAGTCCACAAATGATGATATTTCCCTGCAAGCTTTGTTGATCTGCTCATAACACCATCTGATGTCAAGATCTGATGATGTGACCAATGGGATTAGTCGAGACTGAATGTCACTGAAAAACGATGTCAAGCTACCTCCTGAGGTCTTTGCAATGGAGCGAAGAACATCAAGCGACAGAATATTGGTCGTTCCCTCCCAGATACTAAGTACCTGTGCAAATTGAAATTGATTGGACATGTTAAGAAAAACTGACTTCACTTCATTTGACCAAAGACCTTACTTTGGGCAATAGTTTCAGTTATTATGTTTTTCTTTGTATTTGAAAGGCATGGCCAAAATCTTTCTTTTAATATTTCAGTTTGGCATCTTGATGAAAATGGACAATGTGTGGGTAAGAGATTGTCCTAGATACTTTTGAAAGCCTCAAACTCAAAAGTGTCCCAGGCAACTTGCTCCCATGCTAAGTTAGGCCATATACGTGTAGTCTTACAAAATCCTCCAACACCCTTCACCAGGTATTGTTACTTAATGTCACTACTCTACAGGAATCTTTGAATAAACTAATAACTCCTATAACATAATTCAAGGTGATTACTTTAACAACCATTCCTTTTGTTAAAAATAAGTTGTTTTAAAGTATTTCAGAGGGAAACTTGCCTCAATCTGTAGAGATCTTCTATTTTATATACAAAATGTGAATGTTAAGTTTATAAAAAAAAAGTCACCTATAAATCCATCACATAATGTGTACTATAAAAAAGTTCTTTTTAATCCATCTGAAACTGATTATCAACTTTGAGTCGAGTCATTAGGTAAAAAAAGTCAAGATGAGTTGAGTCGGAGTGTACAGTAGAGCTACATTCAATCAATTTTTATGCTTGGGTCACTGATATTGGAATATTAACAAACCCACAAAAGACCGATACTAGATTTGGCAGCTATTAATTGGAAGAATGACGGAAGGAGCACAAACAAGACAGTGGTTTATTAAGGATGATCCAAAGAAATAAACTTGCTGCATGGTTACCAAGATGGCATTTGCTGGTTATTTCAACCAAAGATCTGAGTTACTTTGTTTTACTCTTTGTTTTGGCTTTGAATTGGGAGTCATATTACTGCGCTATAAAACCACAGTGTGACAAGGACACGTATGTTCATTCGTTCCACTTAACTTGTGTCCATGTTCCAAAATTCTACAAAGTCCCAGTCACTTGAGAATGGTCATCATGTCATTTATGAGTCATTGTAAATTATCCTTTGTTACTTTGATCAATATTAATTTTGGTACTCAGTCAAATGATGGTCGGCCATGTTTTATAAGTGTGTGTATATACAGACGTCCAACACACACTTATACTTAATGTTGGTACGTGGTTTACCCAAGCCTACCGTTATCCCCTACACATTTTGACTGGGAGCAAGGGTTATTGAATTGTTGCCCTTGCATGACTGTCAGAATGACAATCGACACAGGGCACATTAAAATGTATACTTGATGACCCTGTAATGAATAAAAGGAGATAAAGTCATGAGCCGTACTGCAGAGAGTAACTTCTAATACATGTGTCTTTGGTCATCGCTGGTTAAACAATGAACCAACTCACTTCCTATTCACATGATGTGGCACTCTCTGGACTAATCCACTACTCTTTCAGGTAGGGCCAATGCAAAATTTAAGACGGGGAGGAAATATGCACACAAAATCCATCACAGAATTCTAACTTCTCTGCAAGCTCATCCCCTACTTTTTTTGTGGAGAGAAAAAATAAGGCAGTGTTTTGGGATTTGTGGATTTCACAACTTTCAAAATGAATTAAATTGCACCAAAATAGGAAGAAAATTGTAAAAGCTAGAAACATGCCTCTTCATGTACATTTTGTTACATTCGGGGGTGAAAATGTCTAGGCATGTATATTAAAGCATAAACAGCATCCCCTAGTGTAATGTTTTTTGTTGATACCCTCCACTTTTTAAATTTCAGTCATTCCATGCCCCAAACACCTGTCCCCAGCACAGTTGATGCCACTCAATATGATCAGTACGATTCACAATCCATTAAAAGACAACTTTTTCTTAAAAAACAAATGACTGCCCACATGTCCGGTTCATATTCTTTTCAAACAATTGAAGCTCTGTATACAGATCGTACATTGCTTGATGCTGAAAGCTAAGTACATGTAATTCACGAGCAATGACAGCTGAGGGCTTTTTTCTGACAACATTAATGCCTACAGATAAATAAATCTTGTGAAAAATATCAATTCGCGATAACTTGAAAAGACCACTGGCGCTTTCAATGGGTCTCGTGCATACGAAACTTTATTTCATTTGTTTTAAAAAAATGGAGAAATACTTTTAAAATGGATTGAAATACCTGTATGGCTGACGTATTTTCTTTCGAATCCCGTCGTGTTTAGTTTCCCCAACATATAATTTTTTGAATTTGTTTCAGGTTTTGTGCAATCTGGGTTCACAATACGGTGATCCAATGATATCAAATCAATTTTATGTCACCAAATTATTTCCGGGAACTTTTGTATTTTGTGAAAACATTATGGTCTCCATCCATGGACAAAAATGTTGGACGGTGTCCAACATCATCTGCCCAAGAATCCACAGCATATTGATCTAGTGTGCATGCGCTAATCTGAATTAAGTGGTCACAAAGGCACGGGAGTGAACATGCGTGAGGAATCCATGATATACACTGTAGCATATATTGTTCATAAGAAGAAGCAGTACAAGTACAGTAACTTTGAACTTCAGTCGCCAGAATTAAATTTTCACATAGTTATGGGACTCTTGAGTGGTATTAGTCTATGACTCAAGTCTAGTTTCTGATGAAGAACTCAAGTCCTGTCAAGTTATTTGTTTACAGGGACTCAAGTCACTTGTTTTCCCTTTTGAACTTGAGTCACAAAAATCATGACTCAAGTCAGATTTGAGTTGAGTCACATACTCCAGTCATTACAGGTACATCTGTGCTAGTATCTGTATACCCACGCTTTTATGGGTTTTATTTAAAGGATTTTTTTAATAATGTGTGTTACAAGGCAGACCCAAGGGCAAATCAGGAGGGGGAAGCAGGGGCCATGCTCCTCCTTAAAAAGGAGAATTTTGTTTGTTCAATTAATCAAAGGTTCTTTTTTGGGTATATTTCCTTTCCCTCCCTCCCCAAAATGTATAAAAGTACCAAAATAGCCTCAACCCTCAAAAAGGCCATAAAAGGTGATAAACAAGTTCTCAAATGTTATGTACATGTGCTCTCTGAAATAATTTTGCCACCCACCCAAAAAAAAAGAGGGACCAATTGATCATTTAGAAAAGGCAGACTTATTTGAGAAAAAAATCTGATATCAAGCCAATTCCAACATGTTCAGTGCATGTGAGTCAGCATACAGGCACACTTATGGGCCAACCTCATGCACACATAGGAAAGTTCAAGAATGACCTACAATGGAATCACTTTTATCCACGTGCACGGCTCATTTTTGTGGTCGCTGGACAAATTTTACAATAGATAAGACTTGAAGCTTTGTATGGTGAAGACAGACGAAAGAGAGGACTTATGGTAACACTGTGTGGATAGATCTCTTTTGGAAGAGGTATGGTTCTGACAATGGTCAGAGCATACTATGCGAAACATTGAGTACACAATTCAGTGGTTCTTATCAGAACCATACCTCTTCTGAAAGAGATCTATCCACATGGTGTTACTGTAAATTTTACAATGTAAAACTTGACAGTTTAAAGATAAAACAAACCCATGTTATACTCGAGTGATACAATGAACTTAGAATTATAAAACCCTCCAAATAAGCTCCCTCCAAAAATTTCTTCTGATGGATTATGCCCAAAACAAAGATTTAGAGAATAAGAAATGATGACATACACAAAAGCATGGGGAAAACATTGGAACACCTTCCATGTTTTACACTCCACACTCCACTGACCAGTCAGCAGGTCAGTGTAAGTCTTACCTGAGCATCTCTGAGGATGACTGGCAAGCCTGTATCTTCAATGTATCCTTGACCACCAAAACTCTCCAAGCCTTCTGATGCAATAGATATTGCCTTTATACGAATAACAATCAAACAGCAATCAAGAAAAAATACTACTAGCTCAAAATCTGAAACATAACAGCAGCAGAATAACATACAGCAGTATGAGCCATTCTGAAACTAATTGTTTACTGAATGTGCATGACTGCAATCACAGGTAAAAATGAACTCCAATGATGGGCTAATGAGTCCTTTTTTCTTATTTTTCATTTAGTGTCTTTTTTGGAAAAGGAAATACCAGGGGTCAGTTTGTTTCACATGGATCTGGATTTCGATAACTGATCCCATCATTGGTTTGCTCCATCCATTAGGTGGGTTTTGGTGTCAGTGAACAAACAACGGATCACTGATTGTGATCCGGATCCACGTGAAACAAACTGGCCAAAATCTTAACATCTGAAGAATACATGCATTCTAGGATCAGTGTTTCATTTTTTCCTAATGTTTAAAATGGCGTCTAACGCAGCAAAAATTGGAGCTGCGCACTTATTCATTTCTTTTTTAATTCTTGGTTAATATAGGTGGGCGTGTTTTATCAGAACCATATTGCACGTACTGTACCATAATATTAAACAGTAAGAAGATTAAAAGTCTTCGTGATAAAATTAGATCGAGACTAAAAGTAGCTGAGTTTGACAGTGTATGCCATCAGAATAAGTACCAAACTGGAAGGGAGATAATTGGATGGATTCAAGCACACTCTCTGTACTGTTTAAAAGGGCAGACTGCCCAGAATACAACCATTAACTGCAATTTGTGAGGAGTGGGCAATATGTCTTTTTGACTGGACAGGTGATGTGGACATTATTTTTGCATCACAGAATAAAACAATATGGATTACCTTTTGTTCACTGCTGTGAGTACACAGCTATTCAACATTGCTTTCCTATAACCATTTCTTGGGAATAGCTTAATCCACTGAAAAGTACCTGTTTGGCAGTGTATAATTTAGCAACAGGCGTTAACAAACGTAACAGCAGTTTGTCTTGTTCTGTGGCATCCCCACATTCCTCTATACCAAGCAGATGACACAAACGCAGCACTAGTAGAAGGTTACCCCTGGTTTCAACCTGTGCCATAAGATATGGATAAGGTTTAATTTGTTTTAAATCAAGATAAGGCATTGTTTAATTATAATCACTTTTTCAAATTGAATACCTGATGTCACTTCAATTTGTATTAACGAATAAAGATGACCTGATGTGGTAAAATATGGCACATACCTCCATTCTAGATAGTGTTTGCATATGTAGAGGATGGCTGGCTATTAGTTTGCCAAAGGCATGTCTTTTCTGGCTGTAATCTCTGGCTAGATGAACCACTCTGCAACCAAAAGATGACTTTGTCACACATGTTGCAGGCTATCAAATGTTAAAGAAGGATCAAAGTCAACACATAACTTCAGGAATTTGGTGGTTGTTTTTCATATGAAGTTGCCTCTTGCCTTTGTCGATTTTTTTTCCCACCATCCTTCAAATATTCAGTAAGTAAAGATTATCAGGGACAATGTGAGTAGTTTCTTTTAACTTTATTGATTCAATTTAAACATTTAGGAAATAGCTGAAATAAAGGATATTTCACTTAATTTCTGATTGATAGGATACTTAACTTTTTTCAATCATTTTGCCATCTTCAATGCAAATACTTTTACCCTAATAGAACCAGAATTTAGATGCCCATATTAAGTACATAAGATCTGTATGTTTAAGTTCAATCTAACAGGGTCTTGTTATGGTCATTCACGCAATTTTTTTTTCCTGGCTAGCCCACTGGGCTAGTTAACTGGATATTTTACTAGCCTGTTCAGAGTTTTACTAGCCTGTATATAAAACATTAAAAAAACTCCAAAATTTGTTATCAGCTCACCAATAAAGAATTTGACATTTCGGAAAATAAAACGCTGATGGTATAAATAAGAAGGCATGTATGTTAGTTAAATATCGCTTGATTCACTGGTAACGGAGTCCGGAACAAAATCACCTCTTTGCTCCATCTTTCCTCTCATTTGGGTTGCTTACGTTAAGCAAAAATTGCCACTTTTTGCTTACTTTCTTATATTTATATTGATATATTGATTTATATTGAATACATGTAGTTATTTTGATCTAAGTTTTAACATGTAGGCTTATTCTGAATTTTTAACTCGCCCACTGGCCAACCAAGGAACAAAGTTTAGGTAGCCCAGGGCATTTTTAGCTGGAATTTGTACGCTGGGCTAGTATTATTTCGAGGTCTGTCATTGGTGGTTCATGATCTGATATGCACCGAGCACAATTTCAAATTGTCAGCCAACATTTCTTGGAAAATGTATATATATATACAAGAACGGTATGTCAGCTTTTCATAACAATGGTGTCCAAATGACCACAACATAAGCCAAAACCTGTTGAAGGTTCATCTCAATACAGAAAATGTAGTGGGCTGATACTTGAGAAAATTTACATGTACCAGATACATGTAGGGTTCAACCGATGACTGCATTGGGCATCACATCAGACCAATATTTGTCAATATTAGCAAAACACTAGATTGGCAAAACTTGACTCTCCTTACTGATAAATGTACCCATGTTTTGGTTTAAAGAAAAGTACAAAATCCTGCACTAAATTTTATCAAACACAAACTTTGTGTTTTTATTAGAATGTAAGTTCTATGCAGTGATGCCTTATCATAAAGAGGTAAGTATTTCTTAGTCCACAATCTGTATTGCATCAACTCAGTGCCTGATCCTGAAGACAACAGAGCAGTCAGTGTACGTACACTGAACCTACTGAATGTCACACATTGCGGGCTTAGTTCAGCTGATCAAGTTCTTTGTTCACACAAAAATCCAAACACAGATAAACCACTTCCTTAAACTGTCATTTTCAAATTCCTAGATTTTTACCAGTTCCAAATAGTTTCAACTTGCTAACTTTAGTTAAAATCATTTTGATACACTGACACTTTATGTAAAGTTTCATTCTTCCTGTTTTAAAATGTGTAATTTTGTTAGTAAAAGTCCTACCCTAGTAATAAAGATTGACATGTTTTCAAGATTGCATGAGATATTCAACATCAGCCCCCTTGAAAATATGCTTTAAATGTTATCTGTTGTTTACTAGATAATTTCCTGTCATTTTTACATACCTTGGTTTGGTTAAAATCTTGTAAATTTTGTAAGCTTTTACTCTATGTACAAATATTATTTAAATGTGCTGCAAAAAATGGAAAGATTGGCAGGAATGCTTTCTACAATTTTTGGATTGCAATTTTTTCCCACATACAGTGCAGAAAAATTTAAACATGTACATTTACCAGTATGTTGTACGTTCCCTGCTGGGCCATTGCCAATACTATTGTGCGTTCAGCGGATGCAACACGTTCTTTTAATTCAATCTTCAAAGCAAACAGGCCTACTTGATTATTTCCAGCACTAAGAAGTAGGCAACATTCTAATTTATTACTATGTAAACTGTTCAGGCATGCAACTTGGACTTTGAAAAAAAAAAGGAAATTTAGACTTTTGTACAACGTTTTTCAATTTTCAGTGGCATGAGCGTGAAGAAAAAAAGCAAGGAGATCAGCTGATCCGAAGAAAAGTTGTACGCCTGACTGTTAAGGGAGTCAGTTTCGGTATGGTATCACTTTTGTGTTTGAGGGAGATGTTTATGTCAATAAAAAACATCGGAGCAGACACTGGCTGATCATCCAAATAAAACATCAGCCATTGGATTGGCAGGCAAAACCACCATTGGTTGCACTCTAGTCACAGGGGTGTGGGTAACATTCCCTGGCTCTTCTAGGAATAAGTTTGTTTAAATCTAAGGCATCTGTTGATTAAAATACATCAACAAAGCAAAAAATTAAAATAAATAATCCAATGTAGGGACATATGAACATACGCAGACCAAGTTGACTAATGTCTCCAGAAATACAAACAGATGCATTAAACTATACTTACCTTCTCATTGCTCCGGCTGAAGAGATTGCATTATGAATACGGGTGACAGTTAGCATGGAGCTGATGGCAGCAACACCTCTACCCTCATCAGATACCTGATAAAAGAAAAAGTCATGGCAAAATCATGTGTACACATGTACAGATACACAGCAAACATACACCAAACAAACTCATGATGAATGCATCATAATGGTCCTTTTTTCAAAGCACGGTAACTATGCTATCAAGTATGCTCAATGTTTGCATATTCATTTTCAAAATCATAAACTCAGTTGTGAAAATCAGTTAGAAAAATATGGAAAAATTCAATTAATTACAAAAAAACATATATTTTAAAAGCACATTTCAAGGTGTTGTTACGAGCAAGACAGCAATTCACATGCACAACAGTAAGGGCTAACATTCTTTTTTTTTACTTTTGTGTTGTGCTATCTCCCTCAGACTACAGGAATCATCAATTAGGACTGGCCACCAGTAAGCCTTTTGCGAGTTACATGTTTGTAAATTTGAATAAAATCTGGTGCACTGAATTATCTGATTGCACATAAACACAGGTTCCTTTGTGCCTTTCTTATCCATTGAGAAGATACAAGCTAAGTGTGGAGAGGGGTTATATGTGTGTGCCCTTCACTTACCCTCCCATATGTGGGGCAATATAATAGCTTCTTCACCGTAAGCAAGGAACTGATTAGTGTCCACATGGAGCAGAAACACCAATTCACAATTCATCTTCACAAAAACATGTATCTTGTCTTTCATGCATTGTAAAGTGAGTGGCAATCAGTTATATGTGACCTACTGTATCCTGGTAAGTGATAGGGGCTCACTGGTCATCACTTCAAGTGAGTGACTTACATGTGTGTCACTTTGGGAAATCAACAAAGCACACATTTTATTTGAATTGGGCCCTTTTTTCTTAAATCAAATTGAATACAAAATCTTTGCACAATATGCAAGAACTACAGGAATACTGATGTTAAAAGTAAGAGAGAATAGCAGATATAGGTCATCAGTACCTCAATGCATCTGTGATATACCACACTTGTTTTTTGCAAGATAATTTCTAGGGCAAATGTATCAAATACAAAATAGACCATTAGCCATTATTCCAGGAAAGCAAGAGGCACAAGGGGCCAAGATTTCTAATATTTACCAACTGTGCCACTGTTCCATCCAGAAGCAATTCAGCTGTTGGTAGTTGCCGTGTGCCAAGTTTGTTCTTCAGTTTCTGGATTTGTATTCCATTTAGTTGGTCATACTTATTCCTTGTTTCCACATAAAACAAGGATATTCCTTTGGTACCCTGTGAAAAGAATGATGAATGAAACTGAATATATTTTCTAACTAATCGTGAAGCAAAGCTGTACCTTGCAAAACAAGGATTCCTTATGGTCAATTTCAACCAACAGCTTCAGTTTTAGCAAAATGCACTTTAATAAATCAAGGTCTGTCGATATCGATAATATCTGATATATCAAATTTGCTTTGATATCAATATGAATGATATCACTTTACACTGAAATCAATATATCAAATACGCCAATATAATGAAAAAAATGAACTTATAAATTACAATTAACCAGTTGTTGTTATAGACAATGTCTTGTTTGAGGTAAGGAAACGTTTGTGCCTTTTCTTAGAATTGTACTTCTAACTTATATAATTGGCCTTAACCTTTTCTGTGCTCCTTTGAAGGGTTGGCATTATTTTCATTTTGGCCATAAATGGATCATAGATAAAGGTTAAATCCTTAAAGAAATTTGGAAAAACTTGAAAGCAATGTAGAGACATCCAGTGTAATAGTGTTGTCATGGTACTCCTATTACTTAGCAATGTGGCTCAGCACCACAGGCAAGGACACACTGAACTGTATGAGACCGTGAAAGGAAGACACCTATAACTGGAGGTATTTCTTGGAGTACAGGTCCTTGTGGTCTCAGTGAAGAGGCTATTATAGACAAGCCTCGACAGAACTCATTACAAAACCATATTAAAGGCAGCGTGAGGTAGATGATCGTAGAGTTGTCTAGCACATTACTATCTAGATAATTTCCGACAGACACTGCCAAAGAATGTCAGCCAGTGTTGTAGTTGAGTCACCAATGTCGAGTCCAAGTCTCAAGTCACAAACCTAGAGTCTGAGTCCGAGTCATGAGTCACAAACCTCAAGTCCGAGTCATGAATCACAAGTCATGAATCAAGTTGTTCAGCCAATTCGGCTGAGACTTCAGTTTTGCTGGTTCCTGTCAGAGTTTGAACATGTGGTTTCGAATGCAGTTTCAAAATGGATGGAACCAGTGAGCCCAAAGTTTAAGCCGAATCCAGTCACTTCGAAAACTCTCATACCAACACCACAACCACTTCGCTCAGGCCCAAGCAACTTTACACACCCAGTGCAGGCCACAAATTTTTATTTACATACGAGCCTGGCCATTTCGCTGAAAAGTGTTCATATTCGCGTCTGGTTCTGGAGACTATGAAGCTGAATATGAACGTCCATACTCACATGTAAATAAAAAATGTGCTGGTTGACTCAGCAGTGGATATTTAGCCATACATAAACGGGCAAAGTGGAAAATGTACAACAGGACGGTGCTCCACGCATGCAAACCAGTCATAGCATGGGTGCATACAAATTAATTTTCGATGGCGTAAATATGGTAAATACGGCATAAATACGGTAAATATGTTTAATGGAAAAACATGACTCGAGTCACCAAGCTCAAGTCCAAGTCCTCGTGGTCGAGTCAGAGTCTGAGTCATTATCCAATGTGAACCCAACTATCGAAGGTGAGGTTCTCACTTTAAGGGTAATGATAGAAAAAGCACATTACCTCTCAGCTTTGATTCCTGGCCCGGTATCATTGCAAATGTTAGGGCAGGATGGCATACTTGCCATTAGGAGAACAGATGTACTCTATGAAAATGAAGACAAATATGTCTTGTCAAAGAGAAGAGAATGAACAGGGCTTTACACGGTAGCCTATGACATGGGTGAAAGGGACGCTGTGGTATCATCACCCAAAAAGAGTATGTGTAGAGGATGTTATCAGCAGACCACTATCCAGGAATGAAGTAGCTACTGGAAGTAGAAAGGGCTGGCCTCACCGACATGTGTTGTTGTGATAAAACTTGTGAAGCCTCTACAATGGACTCAGAGTAGGACCTTGGAAGAGCTCAAGGACACGTAACGAGTCCCAATGGGATATGAACTATTAGGAAGGGAACACTGAATGAACACGCCAGAAGAAGATACCTGGAATCAATGTTGTCTAAGGAAGGGAAGTCGATGGGGGGAAGCACATTAGATAGCTGTGGCAGCAGACAGTAGCTACATGTGATTGATGACTGCAGTTCCGAGTCACCAAAAAGAAGAAAGAGCCGGATACTGCATTTATTGGTGTTTGAATTGGAGCCCAACACTGTTTGTCACGCCATGAAAAATGGAGAACTGTTTGCTCCTACTGCTAAGAATTGGGTAAATGAGGCATGAATAGAAGATGTCTTTCCTGGTCAATTCTCATTGAATTGCCACAAGTAGGGTAACAGAGAGGGGCGCGTAGATGAGCAACCCTATTCTGCTGAAAAAGGGGGGTTGTCTGTGACCAAGACCTGTAGGTGAGGGAGTCTGGTGGAGAACAACAGCAACTAGATGTTCATGTCAAGACAGGGAGGACAATATGCAGACTGCTGAGTACCTCAAAGGACTAGCTCAGTCTCATTGCAATGTAGAGTCTGTTCTACTGTGTGAATCTCTCTCTGTGAGCAGACACATGTAAAGGAGTTGTTGGCTTCGAGATGTGGGTTACCTTCATTGGATTCCAAAGTGAGGCTCATAGGAACATCTGTCTTGTCAGGAGGCTGAGGCATAGTAAGAGTGTACCTCTGTGGTGACTTATCTGGTAAATGATAATGTGATAACCAATGTACTCCTGTCCGTGAAATCTGAAAGTTTGGGAACAGGAGTGTTCCATAAAATTCAGGAAGTGCCAGTAGATACCAGTAGTTAATGGCCCATCCTTGGTTTCAATTGTCAACAAAGGTGTGACTGGATGGAGTCAGTCCATCATGTACTGAAGGAAGACAATTGAGTCAGGAGAACGGGCCTCATATAAAGATGGCAAGAGGTACCAGGTTTACAGTGTTCCCCTCGGGCTGAGGATGTATTGGTGTGATAAAGGCCCAGGCGAAGGACAAGAGCCGAATTTAGTTAGATCAGAGAATGTATAAGGACGGGGATCTCAAGATTAAGAATCAAGGACGGCTGGTGAGCTTATATGTAATGTTAAGGAAAGCTCCAGCCTCATCTGTACATCCACCTAGGATGAGAATTGTTCCATTGTTTGTCCTCCAAATCCTTCATGACCACAGGTTTCTCCCATATCGGGATGATTGGAATTAAAGAGCAACCCCAACGGTGGGAGAAAATAAGAAATCTGGCCGTAGTATGTTTACTTGGATCCCATTATAGACATCTATGCCAAATAAACTGGATTCAGCAATAATTTTGGTTAAAAAACTCGCTTTTGAGACCCGTTTCTGCCGAGCACCATGGCTAGCTTATATAGTGACAGTTTGGGTAGGTTGAGTGTAGTGGACTTGAAAATTGTACCATGGTTTTGGGGGTCAGGTTTAGCAAGTCAGTTGATTTGGGTATAAAATAACTAAACTGTCAATAAGGTCTGCTGTTCCTGTCGCTGACAAGCTGGGACTTCACAAGTTGTGCATTGATTTTTTTGAGAGGCAAGCCATAGAGCTGGCTGTAGTGACCGTGGACTGGCGAAACTTAGGAGTGCACACTCATATTAAAATGAGGTGAGTCATCAGTGACGCCGAGTGCTCCATATGCGGACTGGCAGGACATTTTAAAGAGTTTTAATATTTAAATGGGGCACATCATCAATGAAGCCAGCCACTCAGATCAAGGACTGGCCAGAGTATGCACGCCTTCACATTTGAATAAACTTATGTTCTTATGTTGGTGTTGTCAGGTGTTCTTTTGTTTGGGGAAGAAAAAGCTTGCGAATTCCAGCAGACTTATCGTGTGCTGCATGGTTAGGGCCATTTAGTTAGCCCCTTTAGTGCAAATGGTGTTTGGCATTGGTTTTGAGCTTGAAAACATTCTTCAAAAAAATTTGACAGATGAGTGTTATTGAATTGGCAATTATCTATAATTGACAGAGGTGAATGTAAATACACTGCATAGAATTATAGCTGAGCTTTGTGAATACTAACTGATGTACCAACTCTTTGACTCCTTGACAAACTGCAATGCTTGAGCACCGTGACTGTCATTTTGGATTTTAAATATACACAGAGCTCTTTTTAAAATGATTGATATTTAACACGACACTCACCTTGGCTTGGAAAACAGGATGTATGTGCATGAACAAAGAACTACCTAATTCAACTAAAGCTGAGAGGACAACAAACCTGGGTATAGTTGCCATCTTTATCCACGATACGTGCAAGTGTAAGTGCTATATCAGAGTCCGTAGCAGATGAAAACCATTTGAAGCCATACAACTTGAAAGATCCATCAGTTTGCTTAACAGCCACTGTCTCAGTACCATCAGCTGTCAAATACACACAAAAACAAGCAAACTTGGCTCTTTATGCGTACTCCCTGATTCTTTTCATTTTCTTCACAAATCCATCACCCACTGTTATATCAGCTGTCAAACAGCATTTAATGCTAACTGAAATTTAATACAGCGGTTGGCTATGTTATCCCTGATCATTAATGTGAAAATTTCTCACTGTAAGACAGTACTGAGTATTTATCTTCATTGCAGAACAGATTGATAGTTCATATGAATAAATTAAAACTGGGATGAAACAATTGTGGGAACTTATGCATGTCACAGGTGTCAATTTTATTTCTGCCAGACTCACAGATGTCTATTTTATTTCTGCCAGACAG